TCTTCGAAATTCAAGGGGTTACGCTCACTTACGGTCTCTGCACAGGCACATAACACGTTAGTTACCCCTGGAATTACAGACTATGTTAGTGAGCGTAACCACAGGAATTACAAGAGTACGTAGTTGAATTACAGAGAACGTGTGAGCGTGTCCCCTTGAATGACAGATTATGTTAGTGAGCGTAACGCCTTGAATTACAGAGAACGTTATTGAACGTAACCCCTGGAATTACAGAGAACGTTAGTGAGCGTAACGCCTTGAATTACAGAGAACGGTAATGAGCGTAACCCCTGGACTTACAGAGAACGTTAGTGAGCGTAACGCCTTCAATTACGTAGATGTTAGTCAGCATGTCCCCATCAATTACAGAGAACGTTAGTGAGCGTAACCCCATGAATTACAGATAACGTTAGTGAGCATGTCCCCATGAATTACAAGAGAACGTAAGTGAGCGTGTCCCCATAAATTACAAGAGAACGTAAGTGAGCATGTCCCCATGAATTACAGAGAACGTTAGTTAGCGTAACCCCTTGAATTACAGAGAATGTCAGTGAGCGTAACCCTATGAATTACAGAGAACGTTATTGAACGTAACCCGAGGAATTACAGAGACGTTAGTGAGCGTAACGCCTTCAATTACGTAGATGTTAGTGAGCATATCTCCATGAATTACAAGAGAACGTTAGTGAGCGTAACCCCTTGAATTACAGAGAACGTTACTGAGCGCAACCCCGTGAATTACAGAGAACGTTAGTGAGCGTAACGCCTTGAATTACAAAGAACGTTAGTGAGCATGTCCCCAGGAATTACAAGAGAACGTTAGTGAACGTAACCCCTGAAATTACAGAGAACGTTAGTGAACGTGTCCCCTTGAATTACAGAGAACGCTAGTGAGCGTAACCCCTTGAATTACAGAGAACGTTAGTGAACGTGCCCCCATGAATTACAGAGAATGTTAGTGAGCGTAACGCCTTGAATTACAAAGAACGTTAGTGAGCATGTCCCCAGGAATTACAAGAGAACGTTAGTGAACGTAACCCCTGAAATTACAGAGAACGTTAGTGAACGTGCCCCCATGAATTACAGAGAATGTTAGTGAGCGTAACGCCTTCAATTACGTAGATGTTAGTGAGCATGTCCCAATGAATTACAAGAGAACGTTAGTGAGCGTGTCCCCATGAATTACAGAGAACGTTAGTGAGCGTAACGCCTTGAATTACAGAGAACATTAGTGAGCGTAATCCCTGGAATTACAGAGAACGTTAGTGAACGTAATCCCTGGAATTACAGAGAACGTTAGTGAGCATGTCCCCTTGAATTACAGACTATGTTCGTAAGCGTAACGCCTTGAATTACAGAGAACGATAGTGAGCGGGTCCCCTTGAATAACAGACTATGTTAGTGAGCGTAACGCCTTGAATTACAGAGGACGTTAGTGAGCATGTCCCCTTGAATTACAGACTATGTTTGTGAGCGTAACGCCTTGAATTACAGAGAACGTTAGTGAGCATGTCCCCTTGAATTACAGAGAACGTTAGTGAACGTAACCCCTGGAATTACAGAGGACGTTAGTGAGCATATCCCCATGAATTACAGAGAACGTAAGTGAACGTAACCCCTTGAATTACAGACTATGTTAGTGAGCGTAACGCCTTGAATTACAGAGAACGTTAGTGAGCATGTCCCCTTGAATTACAGAGAACGTTAGTGAGCATGTCCCCTTGAATTACAGAGAACGTTAGTGAACGTGTCCCCTTGAATTACAGAGAACGTTAGTGAACGTGTCCCCTTGAATTACAGAGAACGTTAGTGAGCGTAACCCCTTGAATTACAGAGAACGTTAGTGAGCGTAACGCCTTGAATTACAGACTATGTCAGTGAGCGTGTCCCCTTGAATTACAGACTATGTTAGTGAGCGTAACGCCTTGAATTACAAAGAACGTTAGTGAACATGTCCCCATGAATTACAAGAGAACGTTAGTGAACGTAACCCCTGAAATTACAGAGAACGTTAGTGAACGTGTCCCCTTGAATTACAGAGAACGTTAGAGAGCGTAACCCCTTGAATTACAGAGAACGTTCGTGAGCGTAACGCCTTGAATTACAGAGAACGGTAGTGAGCGTAACCCCTGGACTTACAGAGAACGTTAGTGAGCGTAACGCCTTCAATTACGTAGATGTTAGTGAGCATGTCTCCATGAATTACAGACTATGTTAGTGAGCGTAACCCCTTGAATTACAGAGAATGTTAGTGAGCGTAACGCCTTGAATTACAGAGAACGGTAGTGAGCGTTACCCAAGGAATTACAGAGACGTTAGTGAGCGTAACGCCTTCAATTACGTAGATATTAGTGAGCATGTCCCCATGAATTACAAGAGAACGTTAGTGAGCGTTTCTCTTCAAATTTCGAGAATGGAATTGAACGTATATACACAAATATCTATATGTGTATATCTATCTATATACACATATATCTATTATATAAAGAAAAATTCTTAACAACGAGTCTTTAGTACTTTCATTTCTTCTAGGAGATTCTTCGGACTGTTTATTTGAAGTATTGACGTCATAAACTATGACGTCACATAATAGTTTGCTATAATGACCCGCCATAACGATATCACAGCAATATAAATTAAAACACATATATCTATACACACATATATCTATATACACATATATATATATACAAATAAGAGTTCTTTTGTTTTTGTACATTTCAAACCAGTATCGTGTTTATTCTTAAATTCAAGTTCGGATCATTCCTTGTTTTTTAAGCCTTGAGACATTTAATTATAGATATTTATATTTAAAAAATAACTTTTAGATATTGAATTCTAGCACGGATGTAGACTCTTTTGATCAACGTTTTGTTAGCATTTTTCTATCAAGAATTCTTTTTAAGGTCTATCAATAAAATTAGCGTAAATCACATTTAAAAGTGTATAGACGATGGTTTGATAAAAATGTAAATTTAGGATTAAAACCCCCCCTACCTGTATGTGCTTTTAAGGCATGCAATACTGATAGATTCTTTTATTTATGAATTTATGTTTTCAAGCGAAAATGGGTCGTTTTATGTTGTAAGTACATTCAAGAAATGCATTAATTAATAAAGAGATAATGCAGACCTCATAACTTACATACTGTATAATATCTAAAGGATTCGAAGGATCACTAAGTGAAAAGCAGTACAGTTTTATTCAGCTTTACATGTCGGAATACAGGTTACGTAGTGTTTCCCGGGGGTCAAACAGATACTTGTACCCAGGGGACAAACGCTACGGTCGACTAAACAGATAACGAGGTTACGTGATTTTCTATACGCCTACATTTGAAGACATGTACGATTTACCCGCAATGAGAAAACCCAGACACACTGTGACGTCGACTCTAACTTAATGTTATGTAAAAGCATTAACATTTGGCGAGGTGGATACAAGCATTTGATAACTCGAATACCTTAAAGTAACCGACCTGAAGCATAAACTACGATAACTTTTGTAAAATGTCGTTTCTTTCTTGTCATTACTAGATATAAAACATGTATTGGCTGTGCCGATTTTATGATATTTCTCATTAATTTATTAATTTTCTGTTCTCCTAGAAGTCCGGGAGCGAAGCGCGCATGTTTTATTCCGTCGTTTATATAAAGGTTTAATTAACTACATTTTTTTATTCAAAACAGTTTGCAACTGACTTTGTTACATATATAAAGTGATGATATGTTCACACGTTCTCTTCAGAAAGTTGTCGTCAGGTGCCCAGATGCTGATGAAGAAGAATATTCAGCATCTCGCGCGGATATTAGTGTCACGTCATCTGTCACATGACACCGGTAACAGATTGTCTGTACCTGTAATTTCTACCTGGAACATGTGTAATGGTCATACCTGTACGACAGGTACAAGTACCTGTAACTGACTTAAATGATGTGCCATTGCCGTGTACAGTACACACATCTATATACCTGTCAACAAACATACATAAATCTCAATCTACCGCGCACATTAATATACAATATAGTAGGTAAACTAAAAACACCTGATGATACATTGTACTTGTATCTTCATGTTGGACCTTTGGACATTATAATGACATCTACACACTAGGTAGTCACTTTTGTGTATTTCTCTTCTCTTCAATTAGTTTTTCCAGATAAAACTTCCATCTGTCCATCCAACCTAAGAAACATACGCATGCCCCCATCGCTACCAGAGTTTAAAACCTGAAATACTAAGACTTAAACACAACATCTGTACAGTATATGGTTTTTTGGATACATTTTGTTTGAAAATGTTCTTCCCTAAGTATAAGTCACACTGCTTCTCTTTCAAGTTTAAAAAAATAAAAGAACGAAAGCTTGAGGAAAAAGAATTTCAGCTACATGCTTAAAGCTTCACGTGTGACAACATGATTCGGTAGGTTGGAAATGGCATGAAAATGTCTGTCTCTAAAAACGGCCATGATTCAACTAAAACATTTAAATTCAATAAGCTACATGTTTTTATGTCTTTAAATGCTAATGACAAATAAATAAAAGGAAAGATTTTTTATACCTTTCTGTGCATATTATATGGGTATAGGATGAGCAAGGGAGTATATTCAATTTTATCGAGATTGTTTGGCTATCATACGGAAATAAGACAGACAGGCATACGTAAATTATTATATTTCAGTACATGTACCTGTGCAATGAATTGTAATATTTTATGCTAGGTCGATGGATACATTTTTATCCTGGAATGATATTAGAATATTCAACCGAAAGAAAGTTCTTATTTTGCATCTTTTATAAAGCGAAAGATACAGCGAAAGTGTATTTGTAAAATTTCCCCCACATTGGGCCCCTTGGAAGGCGGTGTTAATCCACGCCGTCAATCATGCAGGAGATCAGGAATTGGGAGCCGTTAATGGTCCAAGCCGCGTGCTAAGCCCCGCCCTCGTATGTACTCCTTCAACTGGAAACTTCAGTGTGAACTAAAAACGGTAACCTATCTCATACTGTTTACCGGTGATGGTAGCGGGACAGTGTTGTACACAGGATAAATGATATATCACGGAATAACGGTCTTATGACAGGATTGTCTCGTGTTGACATCTCGTGCATTGCACGCGCATGGAAGGTGAGTTGTCGAATATCTTTAATTATACTTTAAATCTATGAATAAGGGTTGTTATCCCGTGTTTTATCATCGTTACATCCGTGTATTGGAATGAATACGGACAGAGAGGAAGGTATCGATTTTGTTACCTGTCCATATTCGTTTATTAATATCTTACCTGTACACACTTATATACGTATACGTGTTTATAATATGAAGCAATATTACGTATGGATGTAGAAATGTGTTTCTAGGGACCAGATATCTATTCGAAGTAATACAGGAGAGAGATGATACCCTAAACGAGACAGGTAGACTGTTTAAATGACATGTCGTCTACACGTAGTTACAGATACAAGGATATCGTTACAGCTGTTTCTGGCACCAGAAAGTATTAAGGTAGAAAAAATACTGCACTATTAAAATAACATTAGATAGCTTTTATTTTGAAAAATAATTTTTAGGTTTTAAATGACATGATTCAGCTAAATTTGAGTCCTGAACGTCTGGACGACCATGTAGTTTTTACTGATAGTCGTGTAGATCCGTTTACCATTGAGATCATCGTGTCATGTCTCGCTGGAGAATTCTGTTACAAAATAGGACACTATATACACGTCTTACCACTGATTTAATTCTGTGGTCTTATATAATGAGAAAATATAGAAAGATCACCTTATCTTATATATATTGTGTTATCTGGCTACACAGGGACATGTCTTATACTATAACGAAAGATATATAAGTTGACAGAAAAAGATCTTCCGTTATAGCACGGAATGAGATTAGACCGTAGTTATAGAAAGCATATTTATGACATGTCCCTTTTCACGAACCTATCAAATCGGCATACACATTTTATATTTAAACACCGTTTTAACGGCTAGTGATAAGATAACTATTGACACTTGAATAGATTTCCCATTATATATTATAGTATGCGACATGTCCCTGTGCACCGACACATATCAAGTCGACATATATGATTAAAATACAATTGCATCTGAAATCTTAAAACACCTTTATAACGTCTATAGCGACAGGATAACTGTTAACATGAATACATGTGTTTAACTTGAAGCCATGTACATTTTTACCTTCAAGTCAAACATTTGTCCTTAGTACTTATCTATACGTATAGCTTCATGTTTGAGTCAAGATAAGATGTATGGTTTCCCCTGTAAGTCATTCTGATTATACCTAGTTACTTGTACATGTGTGAAATCTGACGTAAGTCGCCAAGCTTGTCCCGCCCGACCCCCGGTTCCAATAGTATTAAACCTGCCTAGATACCGGTATGAGTGAAATCTGTGATAGGGCCAGACATGACTTCCTTATTTAGCGAAAGCTATCCATTATTTGTCTATAATACGTACTGCATATATATACAACCTTTTCCAAAGGAATATCTCGTGTATAATGATTTCGTTACCTAATTTCCCAATGTGTATCCATTTCAGACATATGTATAGCATAAACAATAACTTACCTGGGGGAATTCATCTTTACCTGTTCGTTTTTACCTGTAATTAGCTTGTCCTATGCTCTGTACACTATGATGTAGGTATAATTATTTTATCGAACTATAACGAACTTGATGTCCGACGGATGGACATTACCGGACATGTATATTGTTTTACAGATGACCATAACTGGTCAGTCTGGACAGGACAAGGTCGTAAGTTGTTACCTATTCTGACAGGTATATGTTCTCAGGTGTAAATCTGACAGTCCCCGTCTCCTGTTTACCTGTGTAGCATATAGGAAAGTCATTAGTGAATGTCTGTCTATAACATCTCAAAATCGGACGTAGAACACATTTCTGAATGACATAGAACACATGTCTAAAGGACGTTCAACACCATCCTTGCCGCTCCGGCATACTTTTTATTTTATTTTGACTTACAAAACCTGTTAAACACATTTGTCTCACTATTAATTTTGACATCTGACTTAAAGGAATAATTCAAATACATTTTTGAGAGATTAAGCTTCTTTCACATATAAACACAAACTTCATATTCAAATATTTCTTTTTTGTTTCCCTGTCAAATTAACAACATATTTATTTAATAAGGATCATTTATCAAAACCGCTTTGTACTCCTGACAATTTTTGTATTGAAATAGCCAAGATGAATTTAAAGCAAAATACAACCTTTTAGTTAGACATACTATGGTTGGTATAATAATGCTTTTTGGATTATTTTCTGAACAATATAATTGCAAAATGATGATTAAATACAACGTTGCCTCAATATTAGGAAATATTCCAGGTGAGACATACCTGTCAATTATCTCCCTTTGTGTAACTGTAATCAATGCAGACATGTGCGTTACCTGTACAGCCCCCACTATCTTATCACGACAAAAATGTGTATTGAATTTCCTGCTGTTTGATTGTAAATCAGTGAAACGCACGGCGTGAAATACTTTTGAATCATTTCGATGAAAGGCGGCCATTTTTGTGTTGATAGGGTAGGAATCCCACCCCCCTGAATGTTGAAATATAAGTAACGTGAGATAGTGACTATAGCTAGGAGAGTCTGAATCATCAGTCAACCGCAACATTATCTACATAATACCTACCTTCACGTACCTCGGCCTCGTCCTGAGAAACAAACAGAAACAGGTTGTAATGAGTATGTAATTTAAATTCCAATAGTGGTAGGAAAATCTTGTAATTTAAAAGGAAATTTTAAACAAACCTCTGTAATCTAAATACGCTTTTAAAACTATGTTTGTGAATTTTGATACATTCAGAGGAAAAGGGAAGTGATATTATCTCATGTTAAGGGTCAATAAAGAAACATCTGTGAAAGGAAACAATTTAACATTTCAAAACTGTCAATCGGTGTGTAATAAAATAATGAAGTCTTTTATTAAAAAACCAATTCCATTATCTTCAATTTTGATTATGTAATGGTAGATAAGAAAAATATATTTGAAAAGAGTTTTGATAGCGTTTATTCAGTTCAGACCAATTTGTTGTTTTTCGTAAGTTTTATGATTCACACAAATTCAATAACCGCGCTTATTGATTATCGTGCTATCAAATAGTTCTGGTGAAATTAGCCTCGTCACAATATTGGACTTCGGCTGTTTTCTCGAAGAAATCGATTACATAAATCCCTACCTGTGTGATAAGGACTGGGGGTATACCTGTGGGTCACATGTTACCACAGAACAGCTCTCTCTGCTGTATAGATTAACATCGACCAGGTGATCAAACAGCGCCACCTGTCTAATACACTGTAGTGGTCAACAAATAAAATACCCTCATTTGCAATACAGCAGCGGATCCGGTTTCAAATTTATACAAACTAGATTTAAATACAGCCTCTGATTTGCATTTTATTTGACTCTGGAGTTTTAATGCCTTCTATGAAAATAACTGCCGGAACTTTATATTACACTGTCCAGCCGTGGTTTCATATTTTATATTCTGTTCCGGATTTGTTCACCGCCTTTGGTTTCAAGTTTTATAAGCGCCATAATACTAATTGGACGGAGGAAGAGGATTTATTAAGTCTTGTTAATGGATTGTAAATAAGGATCAAAGAGTCAATAGCCGTTGCCATGGATATATTTATGTATTCGTAGTATGAAGGAATAACAGGAAGAATGACCAAGACTTGTCATGGATCACGTGTTCAGTGATTGTTTGGACATTCTAGTGTACCTATCGGCCACGGAGTAAACAAAACCCATTAACATGCAGTTGACATGCCCGTCATCATGCACGTATACATAGGTGTCACTGTGATAGCTGTCACGTGAGGCGTCGAATTAAGTGACACTAATAGGACATATGATGGCGTCGACATCCGGGTCCTTTCAGCATCTGTGTACTGGTCGTTTAGTTTGTGTGATATATTCATGTTGCATTTTCCAAAGATAAATTGTTGACGGTTATATAGGACATAGAAACCTTCATAAGGAGTCTTTTATATCCGGATTTGTTGGAACTGCAAACCACTACAATGCGGATATAATAAGTAACACGGGACCTCTTTATAACGGTGTAACTCGACATATACAGTTGCGCTGTCTTCCTCGAAATCCCAGCCTAGAGTCTCGTCACAGAACGTATGAGGGCGTAACACATGTAATTTCGAGGATGTAAAATTGTAGGTGGTTAGACCTTGTGCCCCCAACAAACTTTAACATTAATTGACGCATAGTCTGAAAATTAACGTGCGCTTGTATGTACGGTAATGAGTTAAGTAAACAGATGTGACAATATGGCTGTCGCCACAATATGAATCGGATGACACGTTAGAAATTAGATTTCGATATGATACTGAAGGATTTCAACTTAAGGATCAACTGAAAAGGAATTGGGGAAATGGTTGTGTAGTTGAATCTAGTGTCCAGCAGGTTGTGCAGGGTGAGCTTTTTAAGACTATAAGCGGAACGCGCCAGCCTTTATCAATTACGGCGTAAGAGGCGTGTGAATTGAGGAAAATATGAGTTAAAACCTAAATCAGACTAGAATGAAATAAAAGAAAATCGAGTTATAGGACTGTTGGTAGATTAAAAAGTTAAATGAATCAGTATTAAGATTAAACTGGCATAACAGTTTTTAAATTCAAAAGATTAAAATGTTGTCAAATTCGGATCATTTTCTCATGAGCCTTTAATAAATTAATCTGTTTAGACGTTTACTCCTTTGATGTTGGTACTTAGTATAGACAAGGCCGATTATATACGGTTCTTACCGAAGTTACGATAAACTTATCCGACTTATTTAGTTTTATATCAGAGTTACCTCCCCTTGTTATACCACACGTCACATTGATTCTCAAGTCGTTGTCATCTCATAAGTGCTGCCGCATTAATGTCGGGAACAAATATCGATGCAAAATAATAGAACGACATGGAATTTGGGCCGAATACATTTACGGGTAAAAAACGTTTAACAATGTCCTACACGTATTGTTAAAAGTAACACAGAATGTTCATACTTATTTAATTTCCTGCTAATATGATTTTTTACCTCATTTAATTGAAGGTTTGTCC